TGCCTGAGCCCGCGTGTTCGAGACCCACCTGGGCAACTTGGCGAGACCTCATCTCTACAATAAATCAAAATGAGCCGGGCGTGGTAGTGCACGCCTGTAGTTCCAGCTACTCGGAAGGCTGAGGTGGAAGGATTGCCGGAGCCCAGCAGGTCGAGGCTGCAGTGGCCGGGAGCGGCCACTGCACTCCAGTCTGGGTGACAGAGTGAGACTCCAACTCACAGAAAAAAAAGAAGAAAATAGGGCCAGGTGCAGTGGCTCATACCTGCAATTATAACACTTTGGGAGGCTGAGGCGGGAAGATCACCCGAGCCCAGGAGGTTGAGGCTGCGGTAAGCCGTGATCGTGCCACTGTACTCCAGCCAGAGCATCAAAATGAGAACCCAATTCAAAAAAAAAAGAAAAGAAAACAGTGACTTGGTGGGTGGTATTGGGGTCTGCATCAGATGGCATATTAAGGAAAGCCTCTAGGAGGAGGTGACAATGGCATCCCCTTCCCTCCGCTGACCTCAGGACCCTGAAGACCTACTGGGTGAGCAAAGGCAGTGCCTTCAGCACCAGCATCTCCAAGCAGGAGACAGACCTGAGCCCGGAGATGATCTCCAGGTAGGGGGCAGCCCCAGGGGTGGGGGCAGGGGCCGGTGGGCAGCACTCACCAGGCCCTGCACACCCTGCATCCACCTCCAGCGGCTCCTGGCGGGACCGGCCCTTCAAGCCCTACAATTTCTCAGCCCACGGCATCCTCCCTGACTGCGGCCACCTGCACCCCCTGCTCAAGGTCCGCTCCCAGTTCCGACAGATCTTCCTGGAGATGGGGTGAGCTTGGGGCCAGGGGCAGGGCCTGTCATAGCCACTGGGCACAGGCAGGGCAATCAGGCTGCGTCTCTCACCAGGTTCACTGAGATGCCGACTGACAACTTCATTGAGAGCTCCTTTTGGAACTTCGATGCCCTGTTTCAGCCCCAGCAACACCCGGCACGTGACCAGCATGATACCTTCTTTCTTAAAGGTGGGTCAGCCACTAGGGCCTGGCCGAGACTACATGTGAGGCCAGGGCATCCTGTTTTATAAAGTTAAGTAGTTCGCATTAAGCTGGGACAACATGATGAGACTGTCTCAAAAAAAATAATAATAACAGCAATTTTGGTTTTTTTTTTTTTTTTTTTGAGTTGGAGTCTCACTGTCACCCAGACTGGAGTGCCGTGGCTGCTCCCAGCCACTGCAGCCTCGACATGCTGGGCTCTGGGGGTCCTCTACCTCAGCCTTCCAAGTAACTGGAACTACAGGCACGCACTACCACGCCCGGCTAATTATTTTTGATTTATTGTAGAGATGAGGTCTCGCCTGCCCAGGCGGGTCTCGAACCCGCCAGCTCAGGCAATCTACTCACCCTAGCCTCCCACTTACAGGCTGAGTCACCGAGCCCGGCTGGTTTATTTATTTTTTTTTTTTGAGTCAGAGTCTCACTCTGTTGTCCAGGCTTAATTACAGTAGCACACTCACTGCCACTGCAGCCTCAACCTCAGGCGATCCTTCTGCCTCAGCCTTCCAAGTATCTGTAACTACAGGTGCACACCACCACGCCCGGCTAATTTTTTGATTTTTTTTGTAGAAATGAGATCTTGCTATGTTGCCCAGGCTAGTCTGAAACTCCTGGGCTCAAGCAGTCCTCCCATCTCAACCTCCCAAAATGCTGGGGTTAAAGTCTTTGCTTAAGCAAAGACAGAAGGAGGTGAGGGAGAGAGCCATATTTAGGGAAGGAAAGTACTAGCCAAAGGGAATGGCCAGAGCTAAGGCCCTGAGGCTCTAATGTGCCTGGTATGCTCACAGATCAGCTGGAAGACCCAGTCACTAGAAGGTGTGATCAAGTAGGAGTGGGAGGGGGGGTAAGAGTAAGACCTGGGCTTTTTCTCTGAGTATGTGGGAACTATGGAGGGGTCTGGACAGAGGAGGCATGTTACTGACTCATATTCCAGCCACCTCTACTGCAGTGGGGGCAGGGGTTGGAGCTGCACATGTTGCTGTCCATCCTCTGTGCCATTTAAGAAATGCTTGGGAGCCGGGCTTGGTGGCTCAACCTGTAATCCCGCGCCTTTGGGAGGCTGAGGTGAGTGGATTGCCTGAGCCCGCGTGTTCGAGACCCGCCTAGGCAACTTGGCGAGACCTCATCTCTACAATAAATCAAAAATCAGCTGGGCATGGTAGTGCACGCCTGTAATTCCGGCTACTCGGAAGGCTGAGGCGGAAGGATCACTGGAGCCCAGTAGGTAGAGGCTGCCGTGGCCGGGAGTGGCCACTGCACTCCAGTCTGGGCGACAGAGTGAGACTCCAACTCAAAAAAAAAGAAATGCTTGGGGCAACTCCTTCGGGTTCCCTCCCACTGTGGGAGCTTTTCTGTCCTCTCGATAAATCCTGCTTTAAAAAAAAAAAAGAAAGAAAAGAAATGCTTGTCCGGGTGTATTGGCTAAAGCCTGTAATCCTAGCACTTTGGGAGGCCAAGGCGAGAGGGTTGCCTGAGCTCAGGGGTTTGAGACCAGTCTGGGCAACTTCGTGAGACCTCATTTCTACAATAAATAAATAAAAAAATAAGCTGGGCATGGTAGCACGCACCTGTAGTTTCACCTACTTGGAAGGCTGAGGTGGAAGGATCGCCTGAGCCCAGCAGGTCAAGGCTGCAGTGGCTGTGAACATGCCACTGCACTCCAGCCTGGGTGACAGAGTGAGACTCTAATTCAAAAAAAACAGAAAAAAAAGAAGAAGTGCTCATTGACTGACTATGTGATGTTCTGTCCTGCCCAGATCCAGCCGAGGCCCTGCAGCTTCCAATGGACTACGTCCAGCGGGTCAAGAGGACCCACTCTCAGGGTGGCTATGGCTCCCAGGGGTGAGGCAGGACCAGAACTTTGGGGGTGTGGAGGTTGGGGGCCCCAGGACTTTTGCATATGCCCACCTTTCCTCCTGAAGGTACAAGTACACCTGGAAGCTGGACGAGGCCCGGAAAAATCTGCTGCGCACACACACCACATCATCTAGTGCCCGCGCCCTCTATCACCTCGCCAAGAAGGTACCAGCTTAGCCTGGGTGGGGCGGAGGGGTGTGATGTCCTGTGGGCCTACTGATCCACGCCTGGGCCTGGCTGTCACCCCATAGAAGCCCTTCATGCCAGCCAAGTACTTCTCCATTGACCGAGTATTCCGGAACGAGACCCTGGATGCCACGCACCTGGCTGAGTTCCACCAGATCGAGGGCGTCGTGGCAGACCATGGCCTCACTCTTGGCCACCTCATGGGTGTCCTGCGGGAGTTCTTCACCAAGTTGGGTGAGTGGGTGCATGAAGCAGTGGTGTTGGCAGGGCAGGGCAGGGCGGTATGGTGGTCACCAGCCTAATCCTCCATCCTTGCTCCCCTTCCCTCCTTGCCCCCTGCAGGTATCACCCAACTGCGCTTCAAGCCAGCCTACAACCCATACACGGAGCCCAGCATGGAGGTGTTCAGCTACCACCAAGGTCAGAGTGTGACCCAGGGTACGGAGGGAGGTCTCCGGCCACCCTCGCTGCCAAGCCCTTACCCTCACCTCCCAAGCTCACCACCAGTCCCAGAATAACCCACACTTATCACCTCTGTCTTCCCCTTCCCATCTCCACAGGCCTGAAGAAGTGGGTGGAGGTCGGGAACTCCGGGCTCTTCCGTCCCGAGATGCTACTGCCCATGGGGCTTCCTGAGAACGTGTCAGTCATTGCCTGGGGCCTCTCCTTGGAGCGGTAAGTGCCCTGGCGGAATCTCAGGGTGTCTGACTATGTAGCTTCAGCACCATCCATTCATTCGACAAACCTTTAGGAGTAAGTACCATCTGAATGCCTAGCCCTGTGCTGTGTACACATCCCTGCCTCTGAAGCTGGGGCCCTGGTGCAGCCAGATGGATGATAACTTGCTTGTTTGATTATGTAATTCAACAAATAAAGTCTAGAGTCTGTTGAGGCAGTAAGTATTAATAGTATAGGGAAGGCTAAGGAGACTAGGTGGTCAGGGAGGACCTCACAGAGAAAGTTGCATCTGAGCAAAGATTGGAGGTAGATGAAGCAATGAAAAGTGAGACAGAGAAGTGTTATAGGCAGAGAGCACAGCCAGTCCAAAGGCCTTGAGGTGGGAATGTGCCTTGTGTGTTTGAAGAACAGCAAGGAGGCCCGTATGGCTGGAGGGAGAAGTGAGGGCAAGGAAGTGACAGGACAGATGGTGGACAGGAATGACTGGTTACAGGAATGACTTGGGCTGTTCCCTGAGGAAGGTGGGAGCCGTGGAGAGGTTCTGAGCAGAGGAGAGCGTGGCCTGAACTCGTGTTAAACTCCATTCCCTCCCCCTCAAGGCCGACAATGATCAAATATGGCATCAACAATATCCGGGAGCTGGTGGGCCACAAGGTGAACCTGCAGATGGTGTATGACAGTCCTCTGTGCCGCCTGGATGTTGAGCCAGGCCCCCCTCGGACACAGGAGGCTGCGTGACATGGGCCATCCCAGGATAGCCCACCTTCCCCGAGTCCCTGCTGCCCAGCCCCTTGTGTCCCTGGCCAGTGACCCCGTGTATTTATGAGGCCTCTGTGAGGCCAGTCCCCACCCTCCTTGGTATCTCCTTTTTCCCACCCATCCCAGAACCAGGATGCCAGGGGCAGAAGAGCGGGTAGCAGGCTCCTTCTGTCATCTCGTTGTCCGTCCATCTATGAGGGTGGGCTGTGGAAAGCCTGCGGACCAGCTGTTGTCTAATAAAGTAGGCATTTGCCCTCATCTGGTGCTGTTCTTAGTGGCCACGGGTCCTATCAGGGACTCCCTAGCTCGGTATGCCCCTTGATGGGGAAAAAACTGAGTACTGGAACCTCAGGTGTAAGAGTGAGATAGATGTCTTGGGCACTCAGATCCTGGCCAGCCAGATCCAGATCACCCAAGGAATTCTAACTTATCAAGGGTTTACTGCCAGGCATGATGGCTCACACCTGTAATCCCAGCACTTTGGGAGGCAGAGATGAGAGGATTACCTGAGCCCAGGGGTTCAAGACCAGCCTGGGCAACTTGGTGAGAGCTCGTCTTTACAATAAATCAAAAAATTAACCAGGCAGGCTGATGCACATCTGTAGTTCCAGTTACTTGGAAGGCTGAGGCGAAAAGATCACTGGAGCCCAGCAGGTCGAGGCTGCCGTGGCCATGATTGTGCCAGTGCACTCCAGCCTGTGTGACAGAGAGACTCCAACTCAAAAAAAAAAAAAAGAAAGAAACAAGGTTTTGCTCTGTTGCTTAGGCTGCTCTTGAATTCCTGGCCTCAAGTATTCCTTCAGTCTCAATCTCCCAAGTTACAGGGATTACAGCTGTGAGTCACCACACTGAGCCCTGTTAGCCTTGGTACTTTATGTACAACAAATATTGCTCACAGTTCTGGAAAGTCCAGGATCAAGTTACCAGCAGATTTGGTGTCTGGTAAGGCCTCATTCCTCCTTGATGGCACCATCTGTATGTGACCTTCCATGACAGAAGGGCAAAGGGGCAAAAAAACTTGCTCAGACCTGTTTTATAAGGGCACCGATCCTATTCATAGGGCTCTACCCTCATGACCTCATCATCTCCCAAAGGCTTGAGCTCTTTTTTTTTTTTTTTGAGTTGGAGTCTCACTCTGTCACCCAGACTGGAGTGCAGTGGCCGCTCCGGCCACCGCAGCTTCGACCTGCTGGGCTCCGGCGATCCTTCCTCCTCAGCCTTCCGAGTAGCTGGAACTACAGGCATGCGCTACCACACCCAGCTGATTTTTTTATTTATTGTAGAGATGAGGTCTCGCTGCCTAAGTGGGTCACGAACCCGCGGGCTCAGAAAATCCACTCACCTCAGCCTCCCAAAGGTGCGGGATTACAGGCTGAGCCACCGAGCCTGGCTGGCTTGAGCTCTTAACACCATTATTTTGGAGATTAGGCTTCAACATGAAATTTGGTGCCGAGGGGGCAGCACACGAACATTTAAACCATAACATTTTGGTGGAAATTTTTTTTTATTTTTATTTTTTTGAGTAAGAGTCTCATTCTGTCGCCCAGGCTGGAGTGCAGGAGGCATGTTCACGGCTACCACACCCTTGACCCACTGGGCTCAGGTGATCCCTCCATCTCAGCCTTCCAAGTAGCTGGAACCACAGGCATGTGCCACCACGCCCAGCTAATTTTTTGATTTATTATAGAGATGAGGTCTCACCGTGTTGCCCAGGCCAGTCTCGAACCCCTGGGTTCAGGCAATCCTCTTGCCTCAGCCTTCCAAAGTGCTAGGATATAGGCGTGAGCCATCACACATGGCTTGTGGAAATATTTTAAAGCAAGTGCAGGCTGAGTGCAGTGGCTCATACCCATAATCCCAGCACTTTGGGAGGCCAAGGTGGGAGGATTGCTTGAGTCCAGAAATCTGAAACCAGCCTAGGGAACATATGGAGGCCTCATAACTACAAAAAATTAGCTGGGCATGGTGGCTCCTGTAGTCCCAGTTACTCAGGAGACTGAGGTGGAAGGGTGGTCTGAGCCCAGGAGTTTGAGGCTGCAGTTGTAATTGTGCCACTGCACTCCAGCCTGGATGACAAAGTGAGACCCACAACTTAAAAAAAAGAAACCACAGCGCTTTGGGAGGCTGAGGTGAGTGAATTGCCTGAGCCCACGGTTCGAGACCCACCTGGGCAACTTGGCGAGACCTCATCTCTACAATAAATCAAAAA